GACTTATTGTAATTAGGTCTTTTGATGTTAACAAACCTGGCTGTGAAGCGGATGACCTGAAAAGGGGTGTAGCTGGTGGAAGTATTTTAAAAGGAGTATTAAAGGTGGGCCAGGAGATAGAAGTCAGACCAGGTATTGTTTCCAAAGATGGTGAGGGAAAAGTCATGTGTAAACCAGTCTTCTCCAAAATTGTATCACTTTGCGCAGAACACAATGGTCTTCAGTATGCTGCTCCAGGTGGTCTTATTGGAGTGGGAACAAAAATTGACCCAACACTGTGCCGAGCGTCTGTGCCGAGTGTTGACCCAACACTGTGCCGAGAATGGTGGGACAGGTACTTGGTGCAGCTGGAGCATTACCTGAGATATTTACAGAACTGGAAACTTCCTATTTCCTCCTTAGACGGCTTCTGGGTGTGCGCACTGAAGGAGACAAGAAAGCAGCAAAGGTACAAAAATGCTCCAAAACTGAAGTGCTCACGGTAAACAGAGGCTCTCTGTCTACAGGAGGAAGAGTTAGTGCAGTGAAAGCTGATTTGGGTAAAATAGTTCTTACTAATCCTGTGCGCACAGAAGTAGGAGAAAAAATTGCCCTTAGCCAAAGAGTTGAGAAACACTGGTGTTTAATTTGTTGGGGTCAGATAAGAAGAGGAGTGACTATCAAGCCAACCATAGATGATGAATGAAGAATTGTGGCTAAATAATACATGTGGATGAAGCCACGATTTTTCTTTACAACCTTAGAGTAAAACAAAAGTGGAAAAGCAATTTCATATCTTACTACCTTACTAGAAGTTGTCAGACTAATCTTTTGTCAGGAAAATTAATGCCTATTGCTTAGATAGTAGGGTCTTCAAATAATGAGTTAAGTTGGCATGTTGCTGGATTGATACACTTTTTCAAACTTACATGTCAGTGCAACTTACTTAGAAATGAAACTGGTTATTATAAACAACTTGCTGTATTAAACATATCAAATGTGCTTGAAATAGTTTTCCATGATTTATATTTTAGTATCACAAAGATAGAGGATTACCACAAAAGTTTAAACTTGAAGACAAGAAGTGTTCTTGAAGGCTAGCTCTATTTGCCTTATGTTGATGTAACTTAAAAATATAAGATGAAAAGAAAGTTAATTCGTTTAAAATAAAATGACCCTTTTGTCCATGAAAGTTCATTGACATTAGAATACCTTTAATATTGTACATTCTTTAATATTAACCATCTTCTGAATGCTTTTTGTTTATATCTCTTGTTTTATACCTGAATCCAGCAGTCCTTCCCTACTGGAAATACTGTTATACTAAATGCTAAATAAATAAGTTCCTTTTTAAACCTTAAAAAAAAATTGATAAGAGAATGTCTGATTT